AATTCGATTAAAAATCAACTTATTGTCAGTCGATTTCTCGATTATCAATCGATTGATCAAAGTTGTCCATCTTTACTTTTTGAATAAAAATATTTAATTATATAAAAATACATTATATTATAAATTTATAATATTACCTAATATTATAACAATATCATTTTTATTTTTTATTTTTTACTCTATGAGGGTTAATCCATGCAAAAAGAAAAATGAATCAATGGAGGACATGGTTGGTGAGATTTTTGCTGATTAAGAAGAGAGAGAGAAAAAAAAAGGATTTTGACTGGCAGAGCCCACTTTTGACTACCTTGCATGTTTGCTTGACTGAAGAAAAATTATCTTCTATTTTCTACGTTCAATGTGGGAATCTTTATATTATATTTATATCTCCCTCAAATTGAAAATAAAATAAGAGTTGTTTAATTAAAGATGCCAATTACCATAAAACACTCACTGCATGCTTATGTCTGCGCTAATAATGTAAGAATTTCTGAATGCAAGGGTTATTAATCTGTGAACCACTCATCAAAAGAGCGACTTTGGAGCTGTAGCCCATGATAAGATAGGAAATAGGTTTAATTAAAACTTTTGTGGGGACTGGTGCTTTATAATATGTCAAAACAGTTTTTATAAATAAGAATATGTTTTGTTGTACAATTATACTAATATAGCCGACTGATTTCTATCAATATATATCTGATAATGGCTTTGGACCTTCTGGTGTATCATGATATTGAACCAAAAAAAGGAGAATCTCAAGATGGAAAGGATGCAAGGAATGCCAAATTATGTGACAACTTTTTTTGAATAATGTACATTTGCAAGATTGGGGGAATTGAACACAAGTTACTCAACGGGAGGCGGACGACATGCACCATATATAGCAAGTGCTGAATGATCAAGTACAAATACAGAATTTCAACCGATTAACTATAAACGCTGGGCCGACACAAACACAATACTGGCACAATAAGCAAATAAAACGCCATAAATATTCATTGTCACAGACCAAAGTTGTCACTGATTTAAACCCCTACTCCCCAATCAGCAGAATGTGCATCCACTACGCTATCAGATCCCTGGAAAAACAGAAATACGGCGAAATTAAGAAGAAATCACAATCAAACCTAAAATTCACAGCACGGGGCATAATCAGTCATGAACAAATTAAGAAATTATCCTTAGTCCTTACAGGAAAGAGTGGAAAAGGTTATCTGCGGCTGCAACAAGATCGGTATCTTCAGCCAGCAGAATAAGCATAATAAGCATAACATCGAAGCAAAGTTGGATACCGGCGTTGTCCTCAGCCGCAAGCCTGTGCTCTTCCTTAATTACTGCAAGTTCCCTTTTTTTGTCCCTCAGCTCCTTCTTTGCCTTTCTTCCCTCAGCCTTCAGCTTTCCCATCTCTGCTTTCATGCATTTCACTTTCTTCTCCCTTTTCTTTAAAAAATTACCCAATTTTGTTTTTCAGAGAATTCACCAGAGAAAGAATGTATACATTAATTAACAAATTAAAGTACTGAAAAGAAAAATGAACTTTTCAAGAAGATCCAATGCTACCTCAAGCTCCTTTTTCCACGACCTTCGCTGCTTCTTCCCTGGAACTACTCCTTTCCCATTCCTTTCCTTCAAAGCCATCAAACCCACTCTGTGCAAGTCCAAAAAATAGTACATTCTTTTACTCTAGAAACATTCCATAGCATAGAATCACGACAATTTAGCACAGAAAAAGGGTATTCCATTTGCCCACCACATGTTTGTGTTATTGCCAAAGAGAACTTGAGAAATCGAAAGAAGCAAAACTCTTACCTCTAAATTCGTCTGGAATTGGATCGCAAAGAGAATCCTTCGCTCGTGTGCAAGTGAGAAGCTTGTCTTGGGAAATACAACGATGGAAGAAGAAGACCCTGAAATCTTTTTATAGATTTCAAAGGGTCCATCAGTGATGGTGACTGACTCTATGTTAATTATAGGAATATATATCCAGATACAATTTATTGAGGAGTCGAGCGAGAATTTGATGTGAAAGAGCTGGACTCTCGAGAGACGTTCGTTCGATCGCTTTGCTTGGTCCAAAATTGTCACTATCCAAGGTTTCTTCTTCTACTTTGCGTCCCCCTTTTTACACCTGCTAGCTTTTTCCAAACGAAAATGCAAACAGCATTGAATGGGAAAAGGCGAAGTGGAAGTGCGTGGCGAACCTTTCACATTTGCCAACTCAGAGAAAAATGTGTGTAAGAAATGGTCAAAGTCTGGATCCATCCCCATTGCGTTTAATCCATTTCTTCTTTTCACTAAATAAAGTTAGAAATTGTTGTTCTATTGACCCCAACCACTTTCGAGTCAAAGTTCAAAATGCATGGTTAACCACTCGTTGTACTATAAGATTTCATTAGAAATTGATAGTATGCTCTGATCTTGAACGGGATATAAACTACTCTCAACTTAAACTTTTATTTACCAAAAAAACAAAATCTTTAGAAACCTTATATTCGTTATTACAGAACAATTAAATTAAGACCCTTCAAAAAAAAAAAAAAAAGATTAACACCCTTCAATGGTTTGATCACTAATTTTAAACTGCATTACTTTAAGAATTGCTTGTATGGCATTGATCGTTTTGGCAGAAAAAATGGATATAATGCATAGAATTAACTAACAGTTCCTAGGGTAATTAACCCCGGTCTTTCTCCACTTCATTGGGACACTCTCGGCAGATAACAAAGCCAAAGGAGGATTTAGCTCCCTTCTTGGCCATTTGATCAGCAGGCTGTAGGCAGATTGCTTTCCTAAGAATGTCCTTCAAAAAAACTTGGGGAATCTTTTTCTAAAGGTTCCTCCAATCCATAAGTACTAAAGCACTGAGAGGATGAGGAGGGTTAGAAATCCCCACCAGCAACATATAAGCAAACAGACAATTAATTAGTTTGTGATAATCGTTTTCCATAGTGAGGCTGAGGCAAAGACCATCTGTTATATATATAGCCCAGAGCTTGGCAACTAAAGCAGTGGTAAGTAATTCCAATATTGTGAGAAAAACTGAAGAGTCATTAACCATTGCAATTTCTTTAGACACCACCAAAAGTGGCTTAGCTAGAATTGCCAATGGTAGGACAATCTGCATTAAGTTTTGATCCAGTGGCAAGGAGGAACTTCCCAACTAAGCAAACAAATTTGTTCAGTTCGAATTGGGAACTTGGGCAGTCCAGAACTCCAACCTTATTGATAATCATGGAGTAGGATTGACTGACATAATTATACTAGCTATTGTGATACAGGCGCCGGTTAGGACAAGAGAAGGAAAAGAGAGGGGGACAAGGAGACGGTATAATTATATTCGCTCTCCCCTCCATGCGCGTCCACTGTTCTCTCTTTCTCTTGGGAGACGGTATGTCTGGTGGAAGTAATTAATAGTACTAGTAATGTCAAGATATGTTTTTGTATTGAACTGACACTTGAATGGATCGATTAACAATAGGTGATGAGTAGAAATTGCATATAGGAGAAGCTTTGCATAAACCAGTACCAATAATTTATTCATTCAAACCAAAGGAAAAAGGTTACAAATCAAAGGGACTGAAATCAATCAGGTAAGGAAGATTATAAATTTTATTAAAAGGAGTATAAAAAGTATTCCATCCCATTCCTAGTTATCAGAATGTAATTAGGAGTACAAGCAAAGAAATGTTGATTTTTAGCGAGACCATGCAGGCCAATTGGTACTCCGTTTGAGACCTTAATTTGCTAGTTCAACCAGGTCCATCGTAATAACTAAAGTAAACACAAATCCATATAAAGTACAACTGCAACTTATAATATAATTAATAATTCATACAAATGACCTCAAAAAAAAAAAAATATATATATATATATATATCTTCCATTTTTCTTAGGATCCAACTGAAACTTAATTACTGTGGCTTGCTCTGCTTCGTCATAAGATCACTGCCCACAAAATAAAAAACAAAAATATTAGCAGGCTGCAGGATGAATAGGTAAACTTGTTTTAATTAATGAAATAAGGGAAAGCAAAAGGTCCCAGGGCAAACCGCAGAGACAGAATAAGGCTGGTGACTTTGGAGACGTTGTTGTCTTTCTTTGCCTTCAAAACTTCAATGATAGGATTGAGGCGGAGCAGGGTTGCGGCTCTCTGTTGCAATATGATCTCTGTTTCCTTCCTCAGCTGATCGCATTCAGCCCCAACTGTTTTTAGTCTTTCTCTTATTTCCTCCTGCCCTTTTTTGACACTTTTCTGTTCCCTGGCGACTACTTCCATCTCTTCTTTAAGTTTCCTCATTCTTCTGTTAATGTTATTCAATCTTTTTCTCTTCTGGAACCGAACCTTCTTTAAGTTTTTCTTTTTTTGAAAAAAGAAGTCAGATTGTGTGATCACAAAATGAAATTAAGAATGAGAGAGTTTAACTTATATATACCTGTTTCCTCCTTACAATTGATCTCTGCCTGCAATTCGGTTTATGCACTGTTATTGGACCAGCGCAATTTCT